AGGACAAAAGCCCTGGTCCCAAGAGGATCTAACACCGGCTCTGGATCTATTCACATCTACTTCCAAAACATAGTTGAGAACTGTTTGGGGCTCTTTAGACACTTTCAGTAATTGTTTGTGGCGGGGGCAGAAATAATCAAATTTATGGAAAAACTGCACAGATAAGTTTAAGACAAAGAATAGTCATCTACCCTTTTCCCAAATTTACCTGTTGTTACACTCTTACCTCATTTGCTCTATCATTTGCACTCTTTCTCATTCTGTCTCTCATACTTAAATAATTTTTTCCAAACGCCCCGATAACAAATTCCTTACATCGCAATCTTTTGCTCCTACGTTATTGTGTATTTTGTAAAAACAGGGGTATTTTCTTACGCACACGTAATGCAGTTATCCACTTTGGTAAATGTGGCACTGATATCATACTTTAATCTACCATCAGATTTCCAATTATGTCAATCGGCTCAATAAAGTCCTTTATTTTAAGTTTTTCCTCCTCCAGGACAGAATCCAGTCTGGGATCAGGTATTGCCTTTAATTGTCATGCCTCTTTAATTTCCTTAATCTGGACTATTTCCCTAGCTTTTCTTTGCCTTTTGTGACACTGACATTTTTGAAGCATACAGTCCAACTTTTTAAATCGAGTGTTACTCATTTGGGATTTGCCCGATGTTTTTTCATGCTTAGATTCACCTCACACTGTCTCCACCCAAGTCTTACAAAAGAGATGCCACATTCTTCTCAGGTTTCACATCTAGAGACACAACGATACCCATCTGCCCCTCATTGGTCAGGTCCATTTTAATCACCTGGTCAAAGGGTTATCTGATTTCTCTACTGTACAGTTACTTTTTCCCTTGCGATTAATGAGCAATCTGTGGGGAGGCACTTTGAGACCCTGAAAATAGCCTGTTGCTCATCAAAAATTTCCCCTGTATTTAGCATTCACTGATGATTAGGTTTAAACCTGTCTTTACTATAATAGTTGCAAAATGATGATTTTTCAATTCCAGCCTGCTCTCTCCATTTACCAGTCAGCCCCTTGTATTGTTCAGTAAGCAAGAGCCTTCCCTTGTCCCTTATTTATTTGTGTATCTATCTGCCTATATATGTATCAGTATAGACTCATTAATTCCAAAATTGTTTTTTTCCAATCATTTATCACCCAGTGCTATACTTAATTATTTTGGTGCTCAAACCGTCCCAGATTTAACCAGTAGAAATCCCTTCAAGGTGACTCTTCTGCCCCTTCTGATATGCCCTTCATCCTTTTTTTTTTTTTTTTTCCAAGCATTACTTTACTTTCTGACATAATGCTCAAAGTTCATCTCATAATTACCTTGTCCCATCTCTGCGACTGGCCATTTCTTTGACGAGGTTTTGCTATTAGAGGCCAAGATTTGAGTGCTAGGTGCTCATTGCTACTGGGGAGTCCTTACTTCTAGGCCCTTTCAGTGGACCAAGCTAGAAAAAATATACGTGTATTTACACAAATATAATACACATGTACATATTACACATATACACACATGCAAACAAATATGTACATGTTTATATATTTATGTGTGTATATATATATACATATATGTATATGTATAGATGTGTGTGTGTTTGTGTATTCACACTGATGCCACTAATCCCAATCCACCCCAGTAAGTTTCCTTCTTGCCTTCCTCCATTCCATATTTCGATGTCACTTTCCCATATGGGAGTTGTAGCTCCCAGCAGCAGTCACACATTTCCATTTGCCAGGCGTCACAATGTATCTAAAATGTTTCAAAATTGCTTGACATGCCCACCACAAGATGAATGAAGTATATTGACCAAAATGAGCTCAGGAGTTGGTTGCATTTCTCCTCCAACTCAACCTCACCCAAACAGAAGGTAAAGAGTCCAACACCGTCTTCATGAGTTTCTTGGATTTGTTCTATTCCTTTGCCCGCTTCAGTGTGGTTGCCGTGTTTATACAAAATACAACTGCCTTAGTTTGCTTCCGTTTGTTTTCAGTTGTAGATTTTTCTCTCCCTTCCCATCTTGCTTTAATTTTCTTTCTGAATATGTAAAACATTAACATGCTTCCAAAAGTCAAAACTATACAAAAAACATTGTTCTCAGAGAAGTGTCTCTCCCTCCTGAATCACTTCCATCCCCTCCCTCCACTGAGTAATCAACTTCATTGTTTTTTGGTTTATCTTTCCTGTGTTTCTTTGGTAACAATAAGCCAATATTTGCATGTTTTATTTGCCCTTCTTTCTTCCACAAAAGATAGCATAGTATATATCCGTAGTATATAATCTGCACTTTCCAGTTTATTTTTATATAGCGGCACAGTACCCCATTGTTTGTATGTGCCATATTTAATTCAACTAATCTATGCTGGGAGATTCAGGTAGTTTCCAATATTTCATGATTACAAATAGCGCTGCAATGAGTGACTTTGTACATATATATTTCCATATTTTTGGCATTGCATCTTCAGGGTAAATTCCTAAAAGTAGGATTTCTGTGGCCAAGGGATAAATGCACATGTAGTTTCGTTAAATGTTGCTGATTCGACTCCCTGCTGAACTTGATCCCAGGACCCCGGGATCATGACCTGAGCCAAAGGCAGCTGCTTAACTGACTGAGCCACCCAGGTGTCCTTCATTGCTGTTTTAATGTGTATTACTCTTGACTATAAATGAAGTTGAATACCTTTTCATATATTTAGGGCCACTTATATGTCTCTTTTCATGAGTTGCCTGTTCCTTAATTTTGCCTGTTTTTCTATAGGAATTTTGATCTCTTTTCTCCCTTAATGTTTAAAAGTTCCTTATATATTAGAGATAGTAGCCTTTTATCTGTCATATGTATGGCTCATTATTTTCTCCCAGTTTATGATTTGTTTTTTTTCATTTTGTTTATGGTGATTTTTGCCACGGAGGTTTTTGTTTGTTTGTTTTTTAATGTAGTCAAATTTATCAATCTCCTCTTATCTAGTATCTGGATTTTTAGCCATCATCAGAAAGCCTCTATTTGCACCCAGATTTTAGAGTCGTTTGCCCATGCTTTCTTCTGGCACTTGGATAATTTCATTTTCTACATTCAGATTTCCCGTCCATTTGGGGTTTATTCTTGTATATGGTATAAAAAGTGGGTACAATTTATATTTTTCTAAATAGCTATCCAGTTTGTCCCAATGCCATTTGTTAAAAAGACCATCTTTGCCCCAGTAATTATAGATACCACCTTTGCCATATGCTGGATGTCTCTATGTAGCTGTGTGTATTTCTGGTCTTCTATTCCATTGGTCTGTTGGTCTAGTCATGCCCCAGCACCCTATTGCGTCCCCTGTAGAGGCCTGTAGTCTGCTTTAATATGTTAGGGCTGGTCCTCTCTCAGAGCTCCTTCTTCCCAATATTTCCTGGCTAGTCTTGTGCATGTGTTTTCTGAAATGAACTTTAATATCAGCTTGTCGCGCTCTTTAAAAATATTCATTGGTATCTGTATTAGGGTTACATTAAATTTGCAAATTAGAGAGAGCTGACATCTGATCAAGTTGAAACACGCCAAGAAAAAGGCATGTTAATTCCTCCTGTTCAAATTAGTGATAGATCATTTTAGATCTGATGTCCTCTCTTAGACGTTTACTTAGGTATCTGAGCTAGTAAGAAGCTCCCCGTTGCAGAGCCAGACCATACATGCTATGCAAGCTCAAAGGGAAGAGAGAGAGGTAAGAGCTAGAATCACAAGGGAAGACTCTGGGCTGAACTGAGACTGGAATCATGCATCCTGAAGGTCATATAGGATTTAGGTGGGGTGGCAAAGAGGAGGATGGAATCCCAGTGAGGAGCACCCACGCTAAGCTCAGGGGTATACTCCGGGTGACATGTCTCACAGGACAGAAAGCTCCCAGCCAGACTCTTAGCTGGAATACTGGGGAAGACACCACCCCTCTCTTTAAGCCTCAGAGTTACATCTCAGTGTTAATAGCTCCCAAATCCTCATTACATACTATTAAAATTAGGTTTGTGAACATCAGCTAGACTTCCAGATCCTGGTCCTTTAGAATGGTAATTTCTGTACATTGTTGCCTTTTCTGGGAATGCTCTAGAGCTGTGTTATCCAGTACAGTAGCTACTAGCCACACGTGGTTATCGAGCACTTACGTGGCTAATGCAATTAAGGAGCTGGATTTCTCATTTTATTTCACTTTCATTTAAATTTTAAAAATGAAAGCAGTGTCAGCTATTCGTCCGTTGAAGTCAACTTTATTGTTTTGAGGAGGACTACATTTTACTTGAATTATACCACTACATAAGATATCACTGTTGTACTGCAACGTGTGTGTCCGTTTTACTTTTTTAAATGTGGCTACTGGAAAACTTTAAATCACATGTATGGCTCATATTGTATTTCTCTTTGGCAGCACTGGTCTAGAGCTTCACCACTGCGTGTGGTCTGGGCAGCATCATGTGGGAGCTATCCCAAACCCTCAGAATCTGCTCGCTTACAAGGATGCCCGGTGATTCTTACACACAGTAACAGAACCTCTGATTCGGATGACTCAGAAGACATCCAGGCCTCTGCTAGGTACCCCAGAGGGGGGGTACCCAAAGTGGTGGGGGGTGGGGGGGTGGCAGAGAGATCCCTGCCCACCACTGTGATGTCATAGAGAAAAACCTCTTGCATCAGCCAGCCCCGCCCAAACTGGTGTCCTGGCTACAGGATATCCTTTTCCATCTTCCCCAGCCCACCTCATACCACCCCACCCCTCTGCTGGCAAGAGGGGGCCTGATTCATCTTCCAGCCAGATACGCATTCCACGCAACCAGCTTAGACCGAGCAGAAGAGGAACTGAAACACCTTTGTCTCAGAGCTTCAAAAGTGAATGAGCAATCCCTCTCAACTGACTCAAAATGTTTGTCTCACCCAGAAGGTAGGTACCCCACTTTTTTTTTAAGTTTTTATTGACATTCCAGTGAACACACAGTGTAATACTAGTTTCAGGCATACAATGTTAGATTTGTAATACAGGTTATACAAATGCACCGCTTTATTTCACATGTTCACGGTAAGGAACTGGAGAACACACTGTAGGATTATACAAAAGGGAATAGAAATCTGTTACTCAAGCCCCATTTTTATTGATAAACCTGGTGATGTCCAAACCTCGACCTTCTGTTTTCATCTTCTTCCACTAACCTTTCATTTCCTCCTCGTTTGCCTCTTCATCTGACTTTTCCTTGCTGCTCCCAGGACTGCTTAGAACCCTCTAGTTCTCCTTTCTCCCCTCCCATCTGTATGATTCCTGTTGCCAAAATCTGGTTCCTGGTAAAAGACCCCGTGGCTGGGGCAACCCCAGAGCTGTGTATGATTCTAATGAACTGAAAGAGCAGATATTAAGTTCTCTGCCAGACAAAGGTGAGGCACCCCCAGGGTCCTGCCGGTAGCCAGCTCTGATCTGGAATCTACTGGAACTAGGGAGGACACAACCTCAGTTGTGCTCGTTCCCCTTTCTGGTCTTAGAGAATCTGGGAGAATCTGCAGGGATCCTTCCAGATCCAGAAAGACCCTCAGTCAGCAAAAGATGTTTGGCTTGTTTAGAACCCACATCTGGAAATGACTTGCCTCTCATCTGAGATAGTTGAGAACGGCCAACTTTCAGCCCAAAGGGTTACTAGAAAAGCAAATGTTGTTCATTTCTCGCACTTCTTGCCTTTCTCCGGAGAGAAAAATGAAGCTTACAATTAGGCGGGGAAATAAAACACACAAGCACGCACTCACGCACACAGAGCAACGTGGCGTGCTGTTCATTGTCTAGATGCTAGGGATCCCAGGAGACAGGATAGCACCCAAAGTGAATAGATCACAAATAGGAGAACCCACAGAAATGGGTAAGAACGTGATAGAAAAAGCCAAGCATAGTAAATTTTATTTTTTTATTGTTGATTTAGGAGGAGAGACAGAGGGAATATGGGAGGGTTTATCAGTGTATATCTGAAGTATAAAACACACCTAATCCTTTGCGCCGTTCTGTGTGAGTTTCCATAATCTGACCCGCAATCCCTGCCTTTTGCTGAAGTGTGTGCACCTCCCCTTTCCTGACTGGCAGCCTGGGGGTGAATCAAGAGGTTTTGAATAGAGACTCCAGCCTTTGCGAGCCTCGTGGCCTTGAGCGAGTCAAACGCTCCTCAGAACAGAGTCGCCACCCCTCCTGAGGCTGACTGTGAGGGCGGCCTCAAGAGCCTAGCAAGGCGTCTGGAACACGGCCCCTTCCCTCCCCCCTTCCTTTCCACTTTCCCCGCTGCCTCCTGGTCTTCACAGCAGAACTGTGAAGGACTACTTTCTCCTAATTTACTCCTGAATCACTCAGGTAGGTTACGTAACTTGGCCAAAATCATCAGTCCAGTCGTGGGTGGAGTTGGGACTAGAACCCCGATCAGCTGAGGACGCGTGGTCTCTAGGTTTCCCTCTCGGAGCCACGAAACAAGGCTAGGACTCAGACCAGAACAGGGACCTGCACCTTTAGGGGACGGGCGGGGGCTGGGAAATGCCTGACTTCTGGGTTCCAGGGCAACCCGCACCTCCTGACCCTCAGGCCCAGAGGCTGGGTGGGAGAAGCTGATCAGACGACCGACTCGTCTCTGCCCTCCCTCTGCCAAGCCTCGCCAGGGCAGCCGGCCATCGGGGCCCGGCCCCGGGCTCGGCCTCCCTCCGGCCGGCTCCTTCTCTCGGGTAGGGGCCCTGGGCCTCGGCTCTCAGCAGCCGCCGGGGCCGGGAGAGGAAGCCGGGCCCCGCGCCCCGCCCCCGCGCCCCGCCCCCGCGCCCCGCCCCGCCCGCTCGCGGAGCCCCAGGCGCGGGGCCGCTGGGGCGGGGCCTCGCCAAACAAGTCGAGACACGCTCTGCGCCCGCTGCTAGGCGACCGGGGCGCCGTAGTAAACCGGGGGCGGGCGTGTTACTCAGAAGGGCGGGGGCCGCGGGGAGCCGGCGGGGACTCGGCTGGGCTCGGGCACCGCGACAGTCGGGAGGGGGAGGGGGAGAGAGCAGGAAAAGAAGGGACGGGGGGGGCGCACGCGGAATGGAAATGGGGCAGCCCAGCTCGGCGCCCTGAGCACCCCTGGAGAGGCGAGAGCTCCCGTTAGGCCCCCCTCCCCGCTTGGTCCCCAGGATCCCCCAGCCCCAGCAGGCCCCGAGGGCTCGGTCACCCGCGCGGGAGCGATTGCCCCACAGGATGTGCAGATGTGGCTGCCCCTCTGATTCACTCCAGCTGCTTGGGGCAGGGAAGAAAGGCGGCTTCCTCTCCTGGAAACGCCTGCAGTAGCAAAAGCCCTCTAACAATTCCACAGCAGCGGAAAGGGAAAGGCGACAGAGAGGAGAGGCCCCAAAGTGCTTTTCTTCAGTCTTTCCCGCGGAACAGAAGTAGAAGTGTTCCCAGAACTCCTGACCCATGTTAGGAAGAAAGGAGTCGTTCTTGTTCTACACGCCTCTGTTTGGGGGCCCTGTGGACATGAAACACTGTTGCAGTGGAGGTTAACCTGAAAGCCCAGAAATCCCAGAGCTGAGTGTCCCATACTGGTGTTAATATTTTGGACACTCAGCATGGGCATTTTTATGGCAATACTCTACCCTTCCGGGCTGGGAGGAAGATCAAAATGTGTGAAGACCTTCCTTACCTTCATCAGTGAATGAGTCAAACATGAGGCACTGAGGCAAAAATTATGGAGCTGGAAAATCTCAGATGGTTCGAGATAGGTCATCCAAAGGGTTCTAATCAGTAGGGAATCCTGGAGCTTGGGAAAGGAACGTGGCATTTTCAATCTGTCACTGGCTTTTAAGCAATCTGTTTGTACCCTGGTCTCTGTGAACTAAAGATAATACTCGTTCATGAGATCATTGCTGTTTTCTGGGCTTCGCTCATCAAAAAACAGGAATGTTTCCACAGGTGGGAGGAAATGTATTGGCAGAGGATCTGTTCGATGTGCATCTGTGTAGAAAGGCACAGGGTGTGTCTGTGGATCTGCGGACCTTCTACCTTCTCACTGCTCTTATGTGGGTGAATCAGGAGAATTGCTGTGTCCTTTAACACTTTTCTCTATTCACATCTTCTCTTCGCTCATAGGCTTCTTAATTGTATTCTGAGCCTGGTTTCCATTACAAACTTCATTCACTCATTCCTGCATGTTAGAAAGTGCTAGGCTCTGCGGATCAACCATGAGTAAAACACAGCTGCTCCTGTAGCTAGCAGCTTCCATGTTCTGGGCTGCATGAGAAAGGCACACAGTGGAACATGCAGGAACAAAGAACAGGGGCCCGTAGATCAGAGCCAGGGACAGCAGAAACACTCATGTCCCACTCCAGCTTTTTGAGTGCTGAGTAACAGAAAGGAATGAGTTATGAGGCATGGGTCAGAAATCTGACTCCAGGGCAAAGGACAGAGATACTACTGCTGGGGGGCGGGGCAGGGGGGGGCTGCAAACGAACCTATTTTAGGAGAAGATGCCTCTATTGATAATGGGAAAAAAACTAACAAACCCCAAATCCCTTCGCCCCAGGCTTTGCCATGAGGCAAGTGCTATGCCAAACGAATCTGCTCTGGCTCAGCATTCTTACCCATTATTTTAATCACGTCTAATCTACCGTGTATTCACAAAGTAATAAATTGGGTTCCTGTTTACAAACTTTGTGTGGGTGTCCCAAGACCACTGTTTCTCTTTGTGTATGCTTAGTAAATATGATTTGGTACAGTGCAGGGTATAGTCACTGAGGACCCTGGCAAGCACAGGTTAGTCCCAGGCCTTGGCTTTGTGATGTCAGAAACGCTGAGTCACATATATGTCCGGGGGCGGGGAATCATCCTGACATGGTAACAGTCCAGCGTACCAAAACTAAATACTGTTTCGAGATACGGAATCTTTGTGTCTGGCCTGAGTCATGAGCTTCTGAGCCCAACCTAATTATATTCATGTTGCATTGACTAGCAATTGCTTTTTCTGTTCTAAGGGAGGAAAGAGAAGAAGGAAAAAATATAAACATACCTAAATTATAACGAAAGGAAGTGAGTGGGATGCCAGGCAGAGAAACTCATGTTTCATAAAAAAAAAAAAAAAAAAAAGGAAATTAGACATTGTGGCATAGGGTCCGTGGTGACAGGGGGTGTCCTCAAGATGGATCACGACTAATAGCCGGCCAGCCAGCCCAGCCATGCAAAACGCACGGCCTCTGAAGGGATAGATTCAGGCTTTGGGGAGGCCTCAAATAATATAACTTCGGAGGCTCTCTTTAAGAAAACTAATACAAAGTGATGAGTATGTAAGGGTCTTGGAAGGGGTCCGAGTCAGTGAGAGACCCCAAAGCTGCTTCACTTTCAATCTACCTCCAGGCCTCCTCATATAACCTCAAGACTCTGCCACTCCCATCCCCTTTTCCCCGGAGAAGGCAAATCTCAGCCTATTAAGGCACAGGGGGTGCAGTTTATGAGCAGAGGCAATAAAAACCAAAGACATCAGACTGTGCCAAACGGTGACTCAAGCGGGATATGAGAAGTGTCTGCAAGTATTTGAGGGGTGTAAACACAGAGAAGGGAAAAGAATTGTTCACTGTTGTGGGGTGGAAAGGGAATGAGGATACGATTCAATAAAGAAAAATGTGCACAGTACCCCTCAGGAAGCATTGGCTGACTCTATTTTCTGATACCGTGGAGTTGTATTTCCCAGGGGAAGTATTTGAGGATCTATGAGTCACTGAAAACTGGAACCGGTCACGAAAAATGTGCTACAGGAAATAATCCTACAAGATGTCCTCGAGGGAGCGGCTGGATGCTCCCAGAGTTCATTCCGAGCCCTGAATTCCGTAGGGCTGACACAGGCATTCTATAGATGTGTGAGTGGGGAGGAGGCCGGAGGAAGAAAAAAGAGCCATCCCACGGGGAGGAGCCACCACCTGCACCTACTTTTGCGGACGGGTGGGGGCAGCATGCGCCCAAAGAGGGAAAAATGTAAGGCGATAGCGCCACCCAGCGTCAGGACAGAAGCTGTAGCCAGGAAACCGACAGCCAATCCCAACGTGAAACGTGACCACCAAATTCCTGCTCCCAGGGTGTTATGCTGAGCGAAATAAGTCAATCAGAGAAAGACATGTATCATATGACCTCACTGATATGAGGAATTCTTAATCTCAGGAAACAAACTGAGGGTTGCTAGAGTGGGGGGTGGGGTGGGAGGGATGGGGTGGCTGGGTGATAAGCACTGGGGAGGGTATGTGCTATGGTGAGCACTGTGAATTGTGCAAGACTGTTGAATCACAGATCTGTACCTCTGGAACAAATAATGCAATATATGTTAAGAAAAAAAAAAAAGATAACAGGAGGGGAAGAATGAAGGGGGAAAATCAGAGGGGGAAACGAACCATGAGAGACGATGGACTCTGAAAAACAAACTGAGGGTTCTAGAGGAGAGGGGGTGGGAGGATGGGTTAGCCTCATGATGGGTATTAAAGAGGGCACATTCTGCATGGAGCACTGGGTGTTATGCACAATGAATCATGGAACACTACATCAAAAACTAATGATGTAATGTATGGTGATTAACATAACCATAAAAAAAATTAAAAAAAAAATTCCTGCTCCCAGCTATGTCCGGATGAATAAAGGGTCGTTCGGGTGATACGGGGTTCACGCTTGGGCATAAGCACATGTGTGTCAAATGTGCGGACACGTCAGTCCTAGAAAAGTAGGAAGTAAGAGCCAGAGAGACTCCTCCGGCTAGAATGTGGACTAATTCCCTCCGAGGAGAGCCCGCCTTTCATTCCCCCAACTAACTGCACAAATACAGAATGGGAAAACCACAACTTGGTTGGTGGCAAATCTGGAATATTCCAGGTGGGGGAGGGCCGGGGCAGAATATGAGGGTTTCATTCAACGTAAGCCCCACGTGAGTCAAACAGGTCATACCTGATTAATTCTCTGGCTCCATATTTTCCAGTTTGTTCAGCTCCTTACTTGTTAAGGTGAAGTGGCAACTTCCAAGCTCTTTACCTGCGGAACCGGAAACCAGAAGTCCATCCCTGGCAATTTACAAAGAGCCTTCTAAAATTACAGATTCCCGGGCCTCACCCCTGCGGTGGAATCTCGGGACGGGGCCCAAGAATCTGAATATTTTCCAAAGTTTCAAAGACTGTTGTGAGGCTCAGTGGCGGAACTGGGAACTGCTGCTCCAGTAAAGGAGAGACCTCTGAGGACTTACAACCCAGACAGCTATCATGAAATAGAGAAAGTATTACGAGAGGGGTACAGTATGGAAGGACAGAGAGAGAGAACTGTTCTCTGGGAGAAAAGAAACATTTCCAAAGGATGAGTGACTTTTACACTAGTCTTGATGAGAGGCAGATCACCAGATAAAGAGACTGAAGACATTCCAGGTATAAGGAAGAGCATCTGCAAAGGCACAGAGGACGGTCCCAGTATTCCATTGAAGGGACGTTGTAATAATCCTTACGATGCTGACTGGAAGGTGGAGACCACCCATGACACAAGGAAGCAATTTCAAACCCATGGCTCTATGAGGCCCTGACACTGCAGATAATAACTTATTAAAAGGATGAAGGGGCACCTGGGTGGCTCAGTTGGTTAAGAATTGGCCTTCGGCTCAGGTCACGATCCCGGGGTCCTGGGATCGAGCCCCGCATCGGGCTCCCTGCTCCTCCCCTTGGCTTGTCCTCTCTGGCTCACTCTCTCAAATGAATAAATTTAAAAATCTTTAAAAAATCTTAAAAAAAAAAAAAAGGGATGGAAACCCCTACACAAAGTAATGGTAACCCTGTAATATTTTCTGTATCTGCCATAAAATCAAGCCCACCCCATTCACACCAGTTTCCTAGGGAATGGCAGTTAGGTGGAAACTGAATCTTCACTTAACTTTTTAGAGAAACTTCCTCTGTAAATACAGGTCCTTGCTTCTTTGTGTTTAATCCCTGATCCCCATTGGCAAGCTCTCCTGTGTAATCTTCCAGAACAGCTGGGCCATGATTGCATTGTCAATTATTAAATGCCCAAGTTCCTTGCAAGGCAGCATTTAATCATGAGGCACTCCAAAAAAAATAGGAGATAGAAGAGGAGGGACAGGAAGGGAGGCAGGAGGGTGGGAAGGCAGTTTCATTCTGTCAACATTAAACCAAGGGGATTTGGGGCACAGATGTCATCCTACAGTCCTTCCTGACAAGCTGCAAGACGCTGACCGCGGCCAAGGTAACCAGCTTCCCCCTCTTACTGCTCAGAACATACATTGCATAGCCCATTTTGCACTTGATTAAGAGCTGTGCCTGTTTCATCAATTTGTTGTCTATGCTAATTCTGTGTTTGTCTGTTAACCTATGTTGATGGAAGAATTAGTGACATTTTGGCCCCTGTGCATTTCCTATCGTTCTGAGCTGGAGTGTCTGCGAAGCCACTCTCTGTCACTTTTCTAGAGAGTAAAGAGTCACCTTGGCATGGGGCTTGTCAGCATAGGCAAAGATACAACTTTTCTTATGGCTGCTACTTCTCCATGATCTCCTTAAAGAGATCATTGCAAAATTAGACTTGGTCTTGCGATTCAAGAGGCTATCTGGATCCTGGAGAGAAAAGGCATGTTTAGGGAGAAATAAAACACATGATGAAGGGCACAGTACCGTAAGTGTTGAAGATGATTCTTGAAAAGGCTCTTGAATGAATTCCCATTCAATTGTCAAGATAATTCTTGAACGAGGCTCCTTGTGTCTGCCCTTGGTTGGACACTCCTTCTGGAAGCAGCCTCTTTGAGCTTCATTCCAAGCTCTTTTTCATCCTTTGTTTCTCAGATCACTTCTTCTTTAAATTGGTTATCACCTTGGTGCGGGGTTCCTTATTCTTATCTGTGAATAATCTGCAGAATAACTTATAAATATGCATAACTTGAAACGAATTGAGGGTAGAGTAAAAATCTGATGAGACAAATTTCCAACCCGTATTAAATTGAAAATGAAGTTGTTGAAAATGTAGAATTGCCTAAATCATTAGTTCGATCTTTATACAGAATGATTAATGAAGACATTTTACCTGGAAGTCCATTCCCTGTTCAAGCAATGGATATGAAAATAATTAGAAAGAATAACTTATAGTAATGGAACAATGGCTAAAACCAATAGGATTTTCACAACTAAAAGCAAGATGGAAACATTCTTTTGGGGGGACAGGGGCAGTGTGTGACTTCCATACCGGGTAATAGAAGCTCTTTCTTCACTCCAGACGCTGTGGTTTTCAGTCTTTACCAAGGTCACCCAGAGTCCTGCACAGACTGACAATTTTGGTGGATTTAATTTGTTGAGTGCTTTTTAAAAAATCGTATTAGCAGATTGCTTTCCAGAAGCTGTTTTATCATATGTCCTATATATTGATTTTTATATGCATATGAACCTTGTATACTTCTTATGGCCATAAATAATCTGCACTTTGTCTGTGGTATGCACTGTTTTAGTCCCTGGAAATTCTGAAGAACAAACTGCTATATTTCTAAGATAAAGTTCCCTGTTAAATGTAGAAAATGTTAAGCAGATTTATGGTCCTGTCCCATTTAGCTATGGTTTTATTTATGTTTCTTAAGCTAAGCAGATTTAGGTCTGATTAATTCTGATATGAGAGATCCCCTGGAAAGCTCAAGATGGTTTACTTTAAGAAGCATCTGTCAGCAACTAAATATGGGTTTCTTTTCCCTTCGGTGCATATTAATATAACAGTATAAACTGCTCCGTAACACAAAGTGCAAGACCTGGCCGATTTCTTTATTTTTCTAAAGCTCAGTCGGGCTCCAAGCCACCACTCACCAAGGTTGAAACATCTAATACTGGTCATTCTTCAGCGGGCTCTCCTCTTCTCTTGGGCTAAAAATGACGGGGAGGTCGGGGGCTCCCGCCAGAGCCACGCTGTCCCCCCTGTGAGTCAGGTACCACAGCTGCATCAGGCAGTGGAGATGCCCCTCCAGGTCCCTCTCCATGACCACCACACTTGGTGTCCCGTCTCCATGGGCGCCACACAGCCCCCTCCCAGTTGAGATTCTGTCCTCTCTGAGGTAGTGTCTGAAAGCTGGGCCCAGATCACCACCTCTCTCAGAACCTACAGCCTCATCTCCCTTCCAAGGGTTTCAACAACCCCACATCCCAGTAGGTCCACTGCCTTCTTTAATCCTGAAAGCCCCAGTCCTTGCTGCTCCCCCGCCCCGGGGTGATCCAGTTTAATATTGACTGATAGGCCATATCCTCCTCCACTCTCCTCTCGGAGGAGTCTGTGATACAGAGAAGAGGACACCAAAAAAACTTGCGTTGTTCCAACAACAGATACCTCAGCAAGTCAGTGCTACTACCTTTCACTGAGGACAAAACCAAAAATAATGACCAGTAAGCGCATTAGAGTGGCCCCAATGCTTGTACTCAACTTGATATACACTAGCTCAGTGGCTTAATCACATTCCGCCTGAGGCTATTATCGGGTATTTATTCAGATCATCCTCAATAAGCATTTGAGTAGAATGAGGTCCAGCTTAAATAAACATCATCACCACGGTGTGCCTACTCCCGGCCATTCCTGAAGCTAAGCCTCCACCCGCGAGGCTCCGTGGAGAAAGCGCCCGGGGCCGGCGGGGGGCCTGTCACCGTAGAGGAGCGTGGCTTGAGCGCAGGGAGCCGCAGGGAAGGGTATCCAGCTCTCCAAGGAGGTTCTGAAATCAGGCTCTCCACGTGTATTGGTCTGTTACAGATGGAACTCCCGAAGGGCTCCTCTGGCCAACGGACATTCCTATCTGCCCTCCTCAACATGCTATCACTCAGCCTCTCCACAACATCCCTGCTCAGCAACAGCTGGTTTGTGGGCACACAGAAGGTGCCCAAGCCCGTGTGCGGAAAAGGTCTGGCAACCGAGTGCTCTGACATGCCGGTGCCCTTGGATGGGAGCAGCACCAACACATCTTCCCAGGAGGTGGTGCAATACAGCTGGGAGGCTGGGGATGACCGCTTCTCCTTCCATACCTTCTGGAGTGGCATGTGGCTATCCTGTGAGGAAACTGTGGAAGAACCAGGTAGGTTCGTCAGCCCAGCTGCCCGCTCTCTTCCCCCCAGGGAACTTAACACGGGCAAAGAGCCAGTGGGAAGCATACAGCACTCCCCACACCCCACCGGGCCTCCCCGCCAGGCTCAGCATCTCCCACCTCTGTATCCCGTCCCTTCTCCCTAGGACTCCCTTTTAATAAGACCCAAAAGTCCATCTGGCTTTTCCAAACCTCCTGTCTAGCAGCCACTGCTGGTTTAAAATCGCGCCATCCTTAAAGGGTCTCATTTCGACTTGTAACATCATGAGAATTCCCCCTCTAGCGAGTTAGGATTGCTGTTTGGAGACCAAATGAGGAGAGAGGATTCTTAAAGAAAATGCCCTGGCTCTGCCCAGCTGTGAGCTCAGATGCGCAGCTTCCTCTCTACAAAACTTGATTTTCTCACTGGCGAGATGAAAGGGTCTGAGTAGATCCCCTGTGGAGCCCCTTCTTGCCCCACCCCACCAACAGGGTTTTCTTGCTCTAAGTATGACCATTACAATTTACAAGGTAGGGGAACTGAAGCCGGAGGAGGGTAACTAGGTGGAGTAAGGTCACCCTTGACCTCCCAGGTCTCCTGCAGCTTGGTGGTGCGTACGGGCAAAGCGGGGTCCTGCGTCACTGTGCATTCCTAACTTGTGTTCCTCGGCTTAGGAGCAGCTGGCCTAGGGACAGCCCTCCTCCCTGCTCAAAGCATCAGACATCACCTGGTAGTGATGTTTTCCTAAAGCCCAGAATCCAGTACAATTAACCTGTTTCTCCCGATTTGGGCCAAGGGAAAAAGGAGATGGAAGAGGATTATAAAAGTATGTGTGTGTGTGTTTATGTGTGTTATTAACGTGCCATTTAGCACAGCTCCGACCCCAGCCCCAGAAACAATTGCGAGCCATTCAGACCAGTGGCACCGTGGCAGCAAAAGGTGCTGGTTAACATTAGGCTTGTTAACCCTCCCTGACCTGAGAAGCGGGAACATTTCCCCGTGGAAGCCGTCTCAGGCTCACGTCCTCTTCTTCACTGTCAGGAACTGGGGACGGAGAAATGGATCCTGAGTGACTCTTGCCTAGGTCATGCATCCATCTATCCATCCATGAGGCCTTCCTTCCTGCTTTCAGAGAGAGGCGTCTAGGGCCTATCTGCTGCGTGCTGGGCACGCACTGGTCCGAGCCAAGGGAGGGGGTCGCACCAGGTGTGGGACGGGGGGACGTTTTCATCTGCCCCTGAAGTCATACCTTGTCTGTGTTTCAGGGGAGAGGTGCCGAACTTTCAATGAACTCACACCACCAACCCAGAGAGGTGAGAAAGGACTACTGGAGTTTGCCACGTTGCAAGGCCCACGTCACCCCACTCTCCCATTTGGAGGGAAGCGGTTGATGGAGAAGGCTTTCCTCCCCCACCCTCCCTTGGGGCTTGTGGCAAGTATGTGGGTTTGATCACCAATTTAGCCGCCATTGACTTGGGCCTCTCTGGCTCAACAGTGCTCTCTACACTGTACTCTGATCTTCTTTTCTCTTCTTCTGAGCCCCACGGGGTGACCCACATTCCCTCCAGAGCTGCCTCTCATTCATATGCAGGAATGCAAACAAGGGACAGCAGGGACAAATAAAGTTCACAAATAGAAAACCACCAACAGCTCTAACCTCCTCTTGTTGCCAAGTAACCATGCTGAAAAGCTTAGAGAAAAAAAAAAGAAAAGAAAAGCTTAGAGGTGTTTTTTTCCCTCCAATATGTATATATTTTTTAAATAAAATATATGTATATATTTTTAATAGAAGGGAGTGAAACTGAAAAGGGAGGGAGAAAGGAACCGAAGTGATTGCTCCAAAATTCAATAAAGAAAAAGGGAACAAAAATGACCCACAGCAAAGTCATGCCCCTGCAAGATTGGGTGACAGGTGATTTCCTCTTGAATTGCCCCAACGGTATTTCCAGTCAATCAAGATTACTTGATTCCTTATGGGGTACCGAGCAGAGAGCAGTGAGCGCAGGGGCGACAGCAAAGGACCCAAAGGAGGGAAAGCTCCCAGCTGGTGCCAACTCTGTCCCCTTCTCTGACTCTGGGAGGCTTTCCCTTCTGCCGGGCTCCCTGTGTTCAGTCCTGTAACATGTCAGGGTGAGGGCTCTTCTTCCTCTGTTTCTTTTTTCTTTTTTCTTTTTTTCTTTATACTTGAATTTTATTTTCTTCCTCTGGTTTCTAACAGAGATCCTATGGTTATCAGTGGGAGCCCACTTCTCGTCCATCGGACTTGAATTCGTCAGCTTCCTCCTGCTACTAATGGACCTGCTGTTCACCGGGAACCCAGGCTGCGGGCTCAAGCTGAGCGCCTTCGCTGCCATTTCCTCCGTCCTGTCGGGTGCGTGCTGCCCAGGCTGGAGCGGGTGGGGAGCCTCGCCACCTTGGGGCGCCTCTGGTGGGTGCGTGTGTCTGTCCAGAGGCAGGGTCAAGAATGGAGGGATGAGAGCCGTTGCAGGGGTCTTGAAGTTGGAATGAAATTTTCTATTAGATCATTATGTACTTGGCAAAATGATTTCTCTCTAGGTTCTTTTTATTTGCAAGTTTTCTCAGTATGTGAAATACAGTTTGGCTTACTTTTCAGTTGCACTTACACACAGCTTTTTAAGACTCCATCGGATCAAGCAGGAGTAAGAGATGCAGATATAAAGATAGATCAAGAATAAAGCTCGTGTTGAGGGCATGGGTGGGAAGAAGTAAAAGGCCCTAAGTGCAGCATTGACTCAGAAACTTTTTCCATAGCTCGCCACCTAAAGCCTGGGGCAACCTTTTGCAAAGCTCTGCGTTCAAGAAGCCCCCGTCGCAGATCAGTGTCCCCGGAAATGTGGGGGGCAGATGGGTAATGGAGCATCTCCACGTAGGCTGTACCTGATGCAAAATGAGGAGCTTGCTCCAAACCCATACTCCCTGTAGCTGGCAAATCCAGCCTCTCTCTAAGGGCACCGCCTTCCTGTTCCCTCTGTAGGCCTTCTGGGGATGGTGGCCCATATGGTGTATTCACAAGTCTTCCAGGCAACTGCCAACTTGGGTCCAGAAGACTGGAGGCCACATGCTTGGAATTATGGCTGGGCCTTCTAGTAAGTGCTTACCATCTCCTGAACCTTCTAGCCCCTCCCCAGCCAAGCTGCATTCGATGTGCCGCCCTCAACTAGATGCTTGCTCGGGTGTCCTTCTGCCTTCTCTTCATCCCTCATCCCGGGAGTCTGTTGACCAGAGAGCTGGACCATCAGGCCACCCCTGTTCTTTCCCCACCTCCTGTGGAGGCACAGAGAGGATTCTTCCAGCTTGTTTTGTCCAGTTTTCCTAATGATACAGCTGTTGCGTGATTCCCTTGGGAAACGAGACTGATTTTGTGTGGCTTATGCAAGTGATGCTCCGTATTTTATTTATTTATTATTTATTTATTTATTTATTTATTTATTTATTTATTTATTATTTATTTTTAAGATTTTATTTTTTTGACAGAGACAGAGATAGCAAGAGCAGGAACACAAGCGGGGGGGCAGTGGGAGAGGGAGAAGCAGGCTTCCCGCCGAGCAGGGAGCCCGATGTGGGGCTCGATCCCAGGACCCTGGGATCATGACCTGAGCCGAAGGCAGATGCCCAACGACTGAGCCACTCAGGCGCCGATGCTCTGTATTTTATACATTTTATGATTCAAGGTATTGGAGGACCGAGAAATGAAGAATTAGCCTTGAGATTTGGTTGGAATTCCATCCCCTGTGAATGGCTGACTCTTCTCCTATAACAAAGAGTCACTTCTTCCTACTTCTGCTCTTATTCCATCCCACTGTGTGAGAAATAAAACCTCCCCTACCAGTCATTCCCTAACCCTTAGAGAACTAAGGGGTCAGTTATTTTTGATTTCTCTTAAGAAGAGAGAAGCAGCAACCATGACAAACACATTCGAAGCAAATATCCCCTCTGTTTTAAGAGTTCCTCCCTTCCTGCCCTGAGGAACACGCTCTGTTCACTGCACACGTGCCACCTTGGGCCTGCATTTCGGTCCGGAGTCAGTGCGAAGTACTTTACCAGGGCTGGAAACACACGGCGCTGGGCTCCAGTTTCCATGCTGACGGAGGCAGTCTGGAAGCCTATCCATGTCTGTTAGGAGATCCTATCCCCTTGTCTCATGATAGAACATGTGCTATTGGATTCGGGTGTCTTTGGGCTATTCCAAAACCAGCCCCCAGAGCTTATGTTCCAGACACACGGTTTTGCACCTTTTGTCTGTCTTTAAGCCGTTGTTGACATGACACCTGCAGAGCTCAGGCTACCCCACTCCCAGCCGAAGCATCCCCAAGCCTGAGTCGGCTGAGTCTGTCAGGGGCAGCAGATAGGAACACGCAGCGCCAGCGTGTGGCCTGGCTTTACCCATCACCTGACCTCATGAAATTCCTCACTAACCTCACACAACTTCCTGTTTCCTGGGCTTCCCAGAATCATGGGGAGATTTAGGGGTTGACTTTCCAAGTTTTTAGGAATGCGTTTGATATAGTTCCCTGGTGGTTTGTTTTGTTTTGTATTTTCTTTGTTGAATCCATCCAGCTTCTCTTAAATCTCCAGCTTCTCTTCCATGCATTTTAAACTCCCGTAAGCCAAGAGCTGCACTGTTTTCCCAAGAGGCAAATTCCGCTGGTACAACGTATAATACCTCCAGGTTTGTAGTGAGTGTTGCCTGAACGAATGACATGCAGAGGCTCAACTTTGTGGCCCCTAAGATAGCCAAAAACCTCACAACAGAAGAAGATGGAAGAGGAATGATTGCTCCTAGCATCTGATCTGAGTGAAGGAAAATCTTGGGCAGGGTGTGTGTGTGTGTTATGTGTGTGTGTTGGGTGGGTATGGGGTGCTGCACTGGGCTACGTCCACTCTATACAGCTGAGCTATCGGTCTGTGAATCTTGGCAGATCACAAGGGTAACTGCAGGTGGGGAAACCATAGTCCAGAAAATTGTATGTGTGTGCGCGCGTGTTCTATGTATACAGAAAAGGCACACCAGGAATGAAAGAGCAGAGCGCTGACAGCTAATCGATCCCGTGAAAACCAGTCTGCTAAACTCCTAGTCTGACTTGCAACACTACAAGAGTCGTTCTCTTTGACTGCAAAACATTCAGAACATATCCTACTAAGCCAGACCGAATTCAGGCCTCTGGCCCACAGTGCTTTCCCCACAGCACGGCGGAAGGGAACATGCGCCGGTCCCTGAATCCCTAAGCGGCATCAGCCTAGTTTACTAGTAGGAAGCGATCGTGTTTTTCTCTCAAACCTGGATGTAGGTCAGATTCTGACCGTCCCATTTTGTTGTTGTTCATCCCTAGCACGGCCTGGCTTTCCTTCACCGGCTGCATGGCATCAGCGGTCACCACCTTCAACACATACACCCAGCTGGTGCTGGAGTTCAAGTGCAAGCACAGTAGGAGCTTCCAAGGAAAGCTGCGTTGCCTGCCGCACCACCACCAGTGCTTCCTTGAGCAGCCGTCCTGTGCAGCCCCCACGGGCCATCCCCTGACCAGCTACCACCAGCACCACCCTCAGCCCGTCCGCTCAGTCTCTGAAGGAGCTGACTTCTACTTAGGGCGACACCACAAGGGATTTCAGCAAGAACCCAGCCAGAGGCTAAAGGAAGAGATGGCTGGGTCATCCGTAGAGGAAGAACTGTATTAGAAGTAGTCAGGTTTAGAGGGCAGGCGGAACCCAACCTTCCATGTTCATTTGCTATCAACATGTACTGAAGCCAGAGTCTGTTTCTTGAGCATGGTTTTCACAGGTTCAGGACAAGCCTATCTAAAGTGCAGGTCCAAAGGGGTGCATGCCAGGGCACCACTGCCCCTCTTCCTTCCCAGCGCTTTCCTTCCCTTCCCATGTCTCGTTTCGCCACCCCCCCTCCCGTGTTCAGAATCACCCCCTCTCCTTTACTGATGGCTTGTTATGCGCCACGTTCCGGGCTCAGCAGCGGAGACAAAAAAGAGAAGTAGAATCCAGTTCCTGCCCTTTAGGGGCTTCTCCATCTGGCCCTCTATCTGGGATTTGGAGGAATGCAGGCGGACAACTCAACAGTCGTCCATGGTGGCTCAGCCTTCCCTGGTGCACTTGACTTTTCCTAGAAGTCATAGAATGGAAGACAAAGAGGCCCTCCTGGGGCCGATGTCCTCCACACTGCCTATTACAGTGTCCCACACCCACATGGTAGGGACCCAATGGAAGTTTAAACATTAATCTAGAAGCCACCAGGGGACTAGTACACATGAGAAGGCCCCCACAGCATGCAGGGACAGGTCCACTTCCAGAAATGGTCCACTGTAGTTATTCGTAGGGGATTTATGGTAAGGGACACTTCCGCAATGAACAAGGCCACGGCATACACTCCCCTCTGGATCCCCAACTCACCCACCCACCTGTTCTTCCTCTTTTCCATAAGGGAAAACAAACCATGGCGATGGCTAAGAAGAATGAGAATGACACACAAGTGTGTTTCCTATACATAGTATTTATTTGTTCTCCAACAATTCACATTTTAAATAGTGCTTCCTGACAATATACCAGCTGGCTCTTCTCTAGTATGGACAATAAAAGTAGCAATTCACATTCAAGGGGGTTGGTATCGGCATACCCGACTGGGAGGGGGAGTAGAGAGCATCTGGGGGTTGGGAGGATGCTGTCTAGGGTGGAAGGGGCTATAAGGATAGCAAGGAGGAGAGCTTGGGAGAAGGAAGATCCTTATACCTGCACGAGTCACTGCTATCCCTAAGTGGCAGTCACACTGGCCTTGCTTGAGTGGGGGAAGGAAGGAGCTCTTCCTATCTTAGAGGTCCGGCTGGGTGGGTGCCTACCAGGAGAAGGGAGTGTCGGGACACACCTGACAGGCTAGCACCCACGCTGGACAGATGAAGCTTCCGCAATCCTCAGCCACCATTCCAACCCTCTACCCTGGCTGCAGGAGGGAGGAGAAACCTAGAGCCTGTCCCGTGTCTGGCAAAAATGGATTCAAACTTCTGAGAGTCAAAACAATCTATGTTAAGTTAGTTTGTAAACACACCATGAAGAATTTAGGGACTGATGCTCTTCTAGCTTCCTCTTATTTCTGGGACTCACCCGGTATAGACACCATCTTCTACCCAAAAAGATTCCGCCCCCCCCCCCCCCCCCCCCCGGCAAGACCAGGCCCTTGGTAAATGACTTTGCATTTTACTCCTCTACATGGTGAAGAACGAGGGTGAGACGTAGATGGCTCGGCCCAGGCCACAGGACCACAAGTTTTAGCTCTTCAGTCAACTATAAATTAGTCCTTAGAGTCCTCTACTAGGCTAACAAGATCCTAGGCTATTCTACCCGAGCAGATGCAAACTCTAGAAATGAATCTAAAATCATCCTATTCTCTTGGGTATCCTCTAATTGTTCCCCCAAGTTTACAAAGTTTCCCAAAGTGTTGAAACCAAATTTGCTTTCAGGGTCTTAAGGCAAGGGGGTGCCCAGAAACCTGGCAGGCCAATCTGCTATTGCTACCAATATGTTATGTCACAATGCCTACCACTGGGCAAATAATACACGTCCCTTCAAATCTGGGATCCCTAAATTTCTGTAATCTCTAAATTTTTCTGGACTCCCTTTACTAAAACAAGCTAAAAAGATACAGGCCCAAGTAAAGACAGAACCTGAGTTGCACTCGGGTATGACCTATCAAAATTATTCAAGAAGAAAAGCAGTTCTCCACCAGCTAACGTGGGATTTTCTGCTATATAAACAATGACCTAGAAGTTTAGGAGAGAACTTAATAGAAGCAACATTTATGGAAGAAGGGAGAAGCAAGCATTGGAGATAATTCTAAAGAACTCAACCAATTATAAAAGAGTATTTACAAAGGAATTTTCTCAAAATACCGTGTTTTCCAAGGCTCTACAAGGAAGGAGATGTGCAGGCAAAATGGCTGCTTACGGGACTCAAGGAGCAAGAATAAAAATCCAGAAACAGCTTGCTCTCATGCAAGCAAAGCAAAAATACCTCTGAATAAGAGAGGGCAAATGAGAGGCAGGATGGAGGACGGCCCACAGGAGATGCCAGGAGACCAAGAGAGCAAAGTGGAGATGAGGCCGGGATAAGCTACCTGGCTGAATGGTTCCTGACTTCACAGAGCCAGGGCAGCACGCACACGAGCGCTTCAGAAGTTACTGCGGGGAAAAGGCCATGCTGGCCAGGCCAATCAGGACCCCGAAATGCCACATGGACCACGCAGAGGCTGCTCACAAACTCTGATGCTCTTGCTCCCCTTCTGACAGGAATGTGGTGGCGCTTGTGGTCACCGACTGTGTAGAGATGGAAAGTTCGGGAGGCGGGAGGTATGGAAGATAAAAGATGGGAATGCAAGGATGGCTCCCTCAGCCTCCCACTGTCTGTGTCTCCCTGCCGCTAGGGTGGGAAGAAGCCAAGGTACGGGCGGTGAGAGAACACGGAGGGAAAGGACCAGTGGCCCTGATGAGAGGCAGGGCACTGGAAGTCCTAAGTCTCAAACAAGCCAAGTGTTATCTCAGAAGGACAAGAAACTGGGCCCCTGGAGCTTAGAACAGATCAAGCAACTATGTCATCCCAACACCAACACATACACACAGGTGGCATAATGCAAAACAAAATGTTCCAGGGAAGAACCTCACCGGAATTTCCCAGGAGTTTATAAATTAGACACACAAAAAATAAACGGTAAGAGTCACATTTCCAAACTATCCGTGGAGTGCCTAGAGGGGGTTAATGCAGGGACTGCAAAGGTAGGTCAGATACCCCAGCCAAACGGATGGTGCTGTCATCTGAGAACTCCAACGCGCCCTCAAAGTGCTTTGTGACAATCACGCAGAGCCGGTGAAATGAGGTTGAAGTCTTCCTTCTCTCCAAAGAACTGACGTGACGCTGCTGGGAGAGAGACGGTACCACTCTCTTCACTTCTTCTGAGATGGAAGATTCCTCAGACTATATCTAGGGGAAAGAGTGCAGGTATCAGCGACTTTCATTCTTTTCATGACAGAGAAATGGAGGAAACCCAAAGATCAGGCTATTTCTCTACTCTTCTGTCCTTCTGTCTAGCCCCGATAGTTCGTAAGTCCTTCCAGAAAGATCCAGGAAGTTTGTTTTTTCCATGACAAACTCTTGAACATTGAACTAGACCATAGTATTTGAGGGCTGGGAGGTTAGCATTTTGAGCAAGATAATCCTTTGGAGTATGTAACTTTCACAAATGTTGCACGATGTTAGCATCTCTAGCCTCCCCCCCGCCCAGAAAATACCAGTCATATCCACCCCCTCAGTCACTGAGATAATAGACACCATGACCCCACATTTCCAAGTGTCCCCTAAGGGTGATGGTACTATTCCCAGCTAAAAACAACTGCGTACCATTTCTGAATGGTCATAAAGCACCCTAAGAAAATAGAGCTGCTCTTGAACAACTGGTTCTTGACACCCAGCTAATCAAAAAGGCTCCTACTCCCCGCTGCTCTCTAGAGAACAAAGCTGGGGTTGGTAGCCTTTGCCCCAAACCTATAGTAGTAATCAAATATATCTTTCAGAAAAGATTCACCTGGTGGGGAGGATCAACAAACTTTATCCTAGAGAGGAATCTTCGCAGCTCCCCACGGCCGATTTTGGGGGTGGTGTCCTCGAGCTGCACCACCTGGCCTTCCATCAGCGCCCACCGTAGACTAAGCTTGCTGACCACCAGGGCTGCTGGATGGCCTTCAGAGCTTGGCCCCGTTGTCCTGGTAACATAAAAGGCATCTTTCCAGAGGTCGTTAATTCCAACTGAGGAAGGACAAAAACAAGAGCAATTAACGAGGACAGAAAATTTCTACTAACAGGAGAGTGGCTTGACTCAGCAACTAGCTTCATTCATTCATTTACTCCTCATTAATTCAGACACGAAGTTTATTGAGCTCCTAATAAATGCCTGGCACCAAGCTAGACAGCGTGTGCACAGTGGGGAATGACAGGATGCTGGCCAAGCAGCACATTCCCCTCGGTCTTTAGACCTTTCCTTTTCTGAAGCTGTTTCTGAGAAAGCCCCAAATCAGGAAACGAGGATATGTCAACTGTGGTGACAACAGGGCAGAAAAGCAAGCACAGCGGACTAGAACTTCTGAGACTTCCCAGACTGTCCGTACACGGTCACAGAGGCTATCGGCCTCGCCAGCACTTACTGTGCCTTATCCTTAACACGGGTGTTGTAATAAAAAGGGTCTCAATTCCTAATTACCACTATTCAATGCTCACTGAATAATGTTTTATGCTAATATTGAAAAACAACTTGCTCAGATCCGGTCAGAGGATTCTGCAGGACGCACGGGAGGGGCTCAACGTTCGCACCCCCGGCTGTTGTTCGAAGGCACACGTCCCTCCCTCGGTGAGACAAGGGTATGCTCACACACAGCCAGCACACCTTCTCCCCCCATCCGTACGGAGCCCCTACTGTCACTGGGACTCACCCTCGGAAGCCGTCACCATGCCCGTGGCGTTGGCCAGATCCAAAAGGATAGAGGGGAATGCTGGATGCAGGAGGTAAAGGTGGTGAAGGCTGGGTGGCCCAGTTCCTGGGATGACATCCTGACAATGAGAAGCAAGAGGGAAGAACGTAGGTAACTCTGCGTTCCCACATGTGACAGGCCTCCGATGAAAAGGGCAGAGGAGACCGTGGTGATTACTCATTCCTCTCAGATCCTATGACCTGACCCCAACTACAAGCATGCGTTTGAGAGAAACTCCCATATACAAGAGACATATTTCAGAGCGCTCAAAACAGACTAATCACTAACTTCTTCAAACCACTAGGGTAGAAAACGCTTTCTCCCTTATGAGAAGAAAAAAAGAATGGAAATGTGCATGCCCTGGGTGGGTAGGGGGTGGGATCCAAGCCTTCTGCCTGTGGGAGTATCAGAACACTGGGTCATCTCTTGCTTCGTGGTGGGGCTTCATGGACACAAAATGCATTCATGAAAAGACATCTCTCACTGGATATGAAAGCCAATTGCAAGTATCAAGCTAAAATCACAAAAATCTTCTCAGTTCCTGAAACAAACAGAAAACTGTCCAGACAGAAGCAAATCATTAATTATACAACAAAAATTCCAATTCCAAGTGGCAGTCTCCAGAGTCCCAACAGCAGAAGAAATACCCACTGGAACTGCCTTCACCAGCCTGACCCCGGTGCAGGGAGGACGTTCGGCTCTCACACATGCGTGCAGCCCAGCCACGCACGGGTTAGTAAGTGACTCCTCCACCGAGCTCCCCGAGTACCTCCCCCACCCCGGGGCCATCCTGGACCCCACTAGTGGAGGAAACGGGAATCCCACTCTCTTAGCATAAGAAGTCCACGAAGTGAGGAGAAACACAGGGGGACGCTTGTAGCCACACTCCCACCACGTGCCACGAAGCACAAGAGGGCATTTTCCCCGTACCCTCAGGATCCCAGACCTGACAGGACTGACCTCGGACTCTGT